GGGATGGTGACAGCGCCCGCAGGTGGAGGTAGCGGTGCCTCGCGTGACTCTGTCCTGTCGTAGGGGCTTGCGAGAGGTACGGCTGGCGCACTCGGCCGGAGCGGCAAATGCTCTCCGCGAGAAATCCTGCCAAATCCTGCGTGACGTGGCCGGGAGGGTCCCCGTGTGGGACCGATGCGCTCGACAGCGCGATATGTAGGTAGCTAGTGCGAGGTGGATAAAAAAAAGAAAAATGCAGGGGGGGCTTCGGTTTAGGACTTGGGTTGTCTAGCGTAGCAAGGGACTCTTCTCGAACGTCCTAGTCAACATCGTGTCTGAAAGCTGCTTCCTTTTCTTTGGGAGTCTGATAATCTTTTTTTTTTTTTTTTTTCCGAGTCCTTCGAAAGTTGGAAACTAAATTAACAGAGTGCAGAGGAAAAAGGATTGTTAATCCGCGAATCACCGTGCAATGCCGCACATGGCTGATCCTTTTTTCTCTTTCGATCTTCGTATCTTCTTTCTTCACCGGTCGCCATCATGCTCCCGCCATCGCCTAACTGTTGCCTACCTCTTATTATGCTATCGATGTATCTATATATCTATACCGTCGGCAATCTCATTTTTGTTGATGATCATTCATGTGGCCCGTGCTGCCGCGTGATAATTTAGAGTCTTAGACCACCTCCTTTGCACAACTATAACAACTGTTATACTTGGCTATAGCCACCATTCGCCTTTGTCACGATTGTTATGATGACATGGTTTTTGAATCGGTGTGTGTAGAGGACTGTCTCCCCATTTTGCGGCTATGGGCGTTATGCTTAATGCATGTTCTTTTGTGGTGCCGTTCTTCCCTCATGTGGGCCTGCAATCGGCATGCCATTTGTGGGAATTGCATGGTGGGCATGCTCAAAGCCAGCTGTTATGGCAACAGTTGTACTTAGAATGCTCAGCTAGGTCTTCCGTGTGTTCATCCACCTCATCCTTGCAGTGCATGTCCTCTTCGCCGTCAAGGACAGACTGATTCTTGAGCCTTTTCTTATCCTTTGCTTTCATCTTCATTCCGCACTCCTCATTTTCCATTACTTTTTCCTTTTTGTTCCTTTTTTCCTTTTTTCAATCCGGACGTGGCCTGCTAGAGGGAGTGATATGAGTATCTCCTTCTAGCGGGCCCGTCCCTAGATGCTCCAGTCTGTTGGTGGGGAGCAGCAACTGGTGGAAACCGACTCTAGCATCTAATTGTACAGTACTACAGTCTTTTCAACCTCTACCCCGGGGCCATCACCCGGGGTCGGCTCCTTGCTTTCCCTTACTTTTCCCTTTGTCTTCCTTTGCTTTGTCTTTTCTCCATCTCTTCCCTTTGTTTATCCCCTCCCCCTTTATTAGAACTGCCAGTGAACCATAGCCAGAAAGGGAGAAAAACTTGAAAAATACAAGAAAGGGAGGGATGTTGCAGATTATTGCGTCAGTGTTTCACCGACTCATCATGAGGGGCTGAACCCTATACAGTCGGCCGAGTCCCCTAACCCATCATACGGTAAGTCATACTCTATCTTAACCCAGGTTGAGGTTGAGCATCAATGACTGCCCACAACTGACACCCCTTCGAGGAGGTGGGGAGTCTGGGGACCACCGACCGCTGCCCTCAAGGGTATGCGTGCTGAAAATCAAATCAGACTATCACTCACCCACACCAGACAAAAGACTCTACAAACTACAGGTTCACACTCCCCATCATCCGCTAGTAAACCCGCCACGGAACAAAGGTGTGGCATACTGGTAGCCACACGGGCCCTGCAGAGCCCGTCCCGGACATTCAGCCTAAAAGCCTAAAACTTAGGGCTTACAGGCCCCGTTCCTTTCAGCCTGAAAGCTGAAAACCGAGGGTCTGCAGGCCCTACTCCGTTTCAGCCTATTTCTGGGTATTTCAGACCCAGAGTTTTCAGCCTGAAACGGAGGGCCATTTTCAGGCCCTCATTGTTTCGACCTGCCCCTAAGACTYAGGCACGTAAACAGGGATGCGGAACAGGCCAAGAATAGCCTGTTCCTCGAGTTTGAGCAGGAGCTGCAGCGGCAGCCCCTGCCTCCGATCGGCATTGGCAAGAGCAGCCTCTTGGACTGCTCGCCGGCAGTTAGGAGGCACCCCGGTAATACATAGGACTGTCCTAGGCACTTCACGGGTAGGTAGTCTCCAGTAGGCACGAGTAGTCTTCAGGATTCGGCCGYAGCACTCRGGAGGAGCGYTGCAGTAGTCTTCAGCGCTAGGTAGTAGATAGCGCTAGCTGTAGTCTTCGGCGCTGGGCGCCCATAGCCTTAGTGGTAGTCTTCAGCGTTGGGCGCTATGGTAGGTGATAGATCGTAGAGTGGGAGAGATACTGGCGGAGGCCAGTGAGACTTACTGGTGGCGCCATCGCTCCAACTCATCTTCGTGGTACCTGCATGAAGGCGCCAACTTCACAGGTTAGTACTGGACTCAGAGAGAGAGAGAGAGTTCTCCTTCTTCCTCTTCTAGGTCCACCATCTCTTCTCACCCTCTCGCCACCTGACTTCTCAGACTACGACAGAGAGAGAAAGAGTTGTGACTTGAGACTTKACGACATTGGATCCAGACTGGATATTGGGATTCAGACATTTCGACGAGGGACTATTTGGGCCTGTACCGAGACTTGGTGTTGTCGTCATTCCCATCTTCCCCTCCTCTTTCGTCTAACCCATCCTTCTTCGTATGTGTATGGTTGGGGCTGGCGCAGTCTTCTTGTGTGACGCGCCAGACCCCCTTCACACCAGATAACGATGATGATGATGTGTGTTCAGGGCTGCATTGCAATATTGATTGTTCGGATCATTCGTATCTAAGTCTTTCGATGTGTTATCTTGTACTTTGTATTGAAGAGGTCGGTTCTTGTTTTGGTCTGCACGTTACATTATGCAACAGTTTGGTATCGGAGCGGACCTCTCATTCAGAGGACCCGCTCAATCAAGTAGCCAGCTTGCGATCTATTGAKCACTCATTAGTAACGCAAGTAGGACTTAGTCAAATCTCTGAAAAAAAAATTCTCGCAACAACTATCCGAAAATTTCTGATATTCGCATTTCGTTCTATCTGAAAATTTCTGATATTAGTAGCTGTCTCTTATACACATCTAGATGTGTATAAGAGACAGCATCAGCAGTGACACGTCAGCAATGGTGACACGTCAGTGCCACGTCAGCAGTGACACGTCAGCAATGGTGACACGTCAGTGCCACATCACAGTGACACGTCAGCAACGGTGACACGTCAGTGCCACGTCAGCAGTGACACGTCAGCAATGGTGACACGTCAGTGCCACGTCAGCAGTGACACGTCAGCAATGGTGACACGTCAGTGCCAAGTCAGCAGTGCCATGTCAGCAACGGTGACACGTCAGTGCCACATTAGTGCCACGTCAGCAGCCACGTCAGACAAAGTGCCACGTAAGCAGTGCCACATCAGCAGTGCCACGTCAGACACAGTGCCACGTCAGACAAAGTGCCGCGTTAGCAGTGCCACATCAGCAACATGACGGGCCTGCAAGGCCAACTGGCCAATGAGCCCATTGCCGACTACAAAAAGCGCGTCCATGCTCAGCTCGCTGCAATCGAGGCTGAGGAACAATGCCAGCTGGCAGTCAAGGCTGCCCGGCTACAGGCTGACGAAGCGGCAACAACAGAGAAGCTGCGGCTACAGGTCGAAGCAGACGCAGATGCCCAGGCTCGCCGCAAGGAAGCCCAGGCTCTGCTGTAGCGGCATGAAGCCAACAGCATCGAGAAACTCAAATACTGGCACTTTGAATCAAACGGCGACGAGCCAACACCGGAAGAGGATCATAAGGAGTTCATGGCCAAGCTCGTGAGCAGGTTGGTTTACACATGTAACCACTTACAGTCCGAGCTGGCGAACCTTCAGCGGGCCGTGCGGAACCATAAGATTCAACACGAGGATGCCACACGGGCACTGGACGCCCGTGTACTGGACCTGGAACAGGCTGTACCAGGACAAGATGCTGGAGCTTCCAGCAGTGCATCCTCTAGCCGCCAACTAGAGGAACGCGTTGACCACGTACTGGCAATGCTAGGAGAYGTAAGTGCCTTCACAGAGTCGGCCACCATCAGCCAGCGGTTCGAGTTGCTGGGCACCAGCAACAGCAGACTGACCACAGCCACAACAACAGCTCGGCGAGGCCATACAAGATGCCGAYATTCCRGATCGAGAAATTTGATGACTCCACACATCAAGACCCGGTCGTCTGGTGGCAAGGATTTACAACGGAGTTGGGGATTCACGAAGTCCCTGACCATCTGTTCATCAGTGCTCTGTTCATCAACACCAAGGGAG